CTTCTCCTCTCCTCCTCCTCCTCCTCTCCTCCTCCTCCTCCTCCTCCTCTCCTCCTCTCCTCCTCCTCCTCCTCCTCCTCCTCCTCCTCCTCCTCCTCCTCCTCCTGTCCTCCTCGCCGGACATCGTAAAGTAACTACCGTGGGGGCCCGTCCACAAGAAACCTTCCACAAGAAACCCAACCCTGAGACCCCAGGGCGTCCATCGAGTTTTGGTGTGGGAACGCCACGCTTTCCACAGCAGAGCCATCGAGGCCCAAGGAACCCGGGGCACCCTGGAGGCAAGCAGGGCGTTCCTTGGCATGGGCCTCCACTGTAAGGTTAGGTCGGGCCTGTTCCCCTAGTGGCGGATTTGGGGCGAAAAACAACACATAGTAGAATACTATTCGAACCATGTTCAAAGATACTAGAAACATCGTCCCCAGATTGACTGTAAAACTGTTTTTGAATATTCCTCCTGCAAAGGGGCACGCCCGACTCAACTGGAAGGGCACTTTTGCCGACACAGCCATGAAGGAACTACAACCCGAGAGAGAGAGAGGGGGAAATAAGGGACCGGACTCTATACACCGACCTTTTCTACGGCCCCGCATTGACACTCGCACAAGATAGCGGATCCTGGTGTATACGGGATCCTGGCGTATACATGTTTCGTCGTGTCCACGGGAAAACGGGGGAAAAAAGTATACACCACACCACCTCGACGTCGTCCCCGACCCTCGAAAAGTTCTGGGGCGGAAACACAGCCCGCCACTGGTAGTGCATATGTTCCAGTTTCCGAGGACACGCCCGACTTAAAGTAGAAGGGCACTTTTGCCGACACAGCCATGAAGGAACTACAACCCGAGAGAGAAAGGGAGGGGGAGAGGGCAAGCTAGGTGCGCTCGCGTCATATCTGACATCCTACCCCTCCCTCCCATCCCTTACCATGGCGCAGATCCCCTTTTCTACTCGCACAGTCGGATGTCGAGCAGGGCAATGATTCCGAAAGGGCACGCGATGCAGTGTAGAGCACGGCATGGCATGGCGTAGAAGAGCACCGCAAAACGTAGTATCCACCTAGCATTGCATTGCACGCCGTGGCATGGCACGGGAAATGACGCCAGCGCTGCAGCGGGAGCGCGAGTCGAAACGAGCGGAAGCGCGGAAATGAGGCCAGCGCTGCAGCGGGAGCACGATTCGGAACGAGCGGAAGCACGGAAATGAGGCCAGCGCTGCAGCGGGAGCACGATTCGGAACGAGCGGGGCCCGAAAATGAGGCCGGCGCCTCAGCGAGAGCAGCATTTTTACAAAATGCAAGCGCAAACCCAACTCCGGGGAAACCTGTGTAAATTATCCAGGCGAAGGACCCAACCATACGCAAGTGTGAAAACCGCAGGGCAGGTGGGACGAAGCAAGGGGAAGTCCTCATGGGGCCACGAACCGTGTGAGGGGTGCACCAAACTGGTGCGGGGCCGCCATGCGAACCCTGCCACTGGGGCCTTCGGTGGAGCTCCCTATGGGGCCACGAGCCGCGTGAGGGGTGCGCCACAATGGTGCGGGGCCGCCACGCGAACCCTGCCTCTGGGGCCTCCGGTGGAGCTCCCTATGGGGCCACGAACCGTGTGAGGGGTGCGCCAAAATGGTGCGGGGCCGCCATGCGAACCCTGCCACTGGGGCGTTCCCGTGCGAGGGGTGCACCAAACTGGCGCGGGGCCGCCGTGCGAACCCTGCCACTGGGGCCTTCGGTGGAGCTCCCTATGGGGCCACGAACCGTGTGAGGGGTGCGCCAAAATGGTGCGGGGCCGCCATGCGAACCCTGCCACGGGGGCCTTCGGTGGAGCTCCCTATGGGGCCACGACCCGTGTGAGGGGTGCACCAAACTGGCGCGGGGCCGCCATGCGAACCCTGCCTCTGGGGCCTTCGGTGGAGCCCCCTATGGGGCCAAGAACCGTGTGAGGGGTGCGCCAAAATGGCGCGGGGCCGCCATGCGAACCCTGCCACGGGCCTTTCGGTGGAGCTCCCTATGGGGCCACGACCCGTGTGAGGGATGCACCAAACTGGCGCGGGGCCGCCATGCGAACCCTGCCTCTGGGGCCTTCGGTGGCGCCCCCTATGGGGCCAAGAACCGTGTGAGGGGTGCGCCAAAATGGCGCGGGGCCGCCATGCGAACCCTGCCACGGGGGCCTTTCGGTGGAGCTCCCTATGGGGCCACGAGCCGTGTGAGGGGTGCACCAAACTGGCGCGGGGCCGCCATGCGAACCCTGCCTCTAGGGCCTTCGGTGGAGCTCCCTATGGGGCCACGAACCGTGAGGGGTGCGCCAAAATGGCGCGGGGCAGCCATGCGAACCCTGCCACTGGGGCGCTCGGTGGAAACCCCTGGGGGGCCACGAACCGTGTGAGGGGTGCGCCAAAATGGTGCGGGGCCGCCATGCGAACCCTGCCACCGGGGCCTTTCGGTGGAGCTCCCTATGGGGCTACGAACCGTGTGAGGGGAGCGCCAAAACGCGGGGCCGCCATGCGAACCCTGCCACTGGGGCCTTCGGTGGAGCTCCCTATGGGGCCACGAAACGCTGTACTGGGTGGGTGAAACGCAGGGAGGAGGGAGGAGGGGGAGGAGAGGGCAACGGGAGGAGACGCGGGGCACCGTCTCTTAAAAACGAAGACCCAACACCACAGGATGGTTGGGAAAAACAGTGCGGGGGGGGGGTCGGCCACCTTCGAACCGTCATCAGGGGAAGAGGGAGAGTAGTATTCATATTGAGTAATTGTAGAAGGAGAGAGAGGGAGAGAGAGAGAGAGAGAGAAGGATGGGGGGAGAGAGAGAGGGAGGGGGGAGAGAGGGGGAGGGGGGGGAGAGAGGGGAGAGAGAGAGAGAGAGGGAGGGAGGGGGAGAGAGTGGGAGAGGGGGAGAGAGAGAGAGAGAGAGAGAGGGGCCGTGCCGATGGAGCCTGCACGCCGGAGAGCAGGCCGGAGGGCCCAGCCGGCACGCCCAGCGTGCACAGCGAGAGAGAGCCCCCGAGGCGACGCGGGGGAGGCGCCCAGCGCGGCTGCGGCGGCGCAGCGCCTCGAGAAAACTGGGAGCACTGGACAAGTGACCCGCCCCCGGGGGGGGGGGGGGGCAGGGGGAAGTCCTTTTCCTCCTCCTCCGCCTCCTCCTCCTCCTCATCTACGCCTCCTCCTCCTCCTCCTCCTCCTCCTCCTCCTCCTTGTCTCCGCCTCCTCCTCCTCCTCCTCCTCCTCCTCCGCCTCCTCCTCCTCCTCCTCCTCGTCCTCCCCCTCCTGGTCGTCGTCGGTGTCTTTCAGGGTCGGCGGCACTGGCTGGCAGGCCTTCACAATGAGGGCATTGGATAAGTAACTCTTGGATCAGGAGTCCAAGGTCTGGAAGCCACTGGAACCCCAACCGAGACTCGGCCATGGATGTCACCGCCGCCCTGGATAAGGAATCCTCCAGGGTCTGGCGCCTCATGGGCACGTTCCTTATCCAACGCCCCACCGCACCTTGACAAGCCCTGTTGGGGAAAGCGTCAAAAATCCTTCCTCCTCCTCCTCCTCCTCCTCTTCCTCCTCCTCGTCCTCGACTACACGCGAGAGCGACCCTGGGCAATAGAGACCTTTGGTGCGCGGTTTTAGGGGACCGCGAAGGGCCCAAATCCAAGCGCGCGGTCCAGTGCTGGGGCCACCCCTGTGAGCCCGCGCCAAAGGTCACCCCGGCGAACTGCCAGTCTTACGCGAAGCCAATGATCCTCCATCACTTGATCAGGGACCGACCGTCCCGGCATTCCTGTAGGCCTACCACGAAATTTTCTCATAACGAAAGAACGCTCTTATAACAAAAGCAATGTCCCAAGAACAGAAAGCCGATGAATTACAACAAGACCGTCCCAGCCGGAAACGTTCAAAGAGCATTTCGCACACAGTGCAACAAATTCTTGGAACATTCTCTTCGGTGGGCCTGTGCGCAAGCCAGGACCCTTCCCCACTGTTCGAAGCATCCTGCCCCCCCGGGTCCTCGCCGCTCAGCGCCCAGTCGAAGATGTCGAGGTTCTGCCTCGAGGGAGCGCCGCGGCGGGGCGGGGGTGTTCGGGTCTTGACCCAGCCGCTTGGCGTTCTCTTCGGGGGGCGGCGACGGGTGGTACCCAACGGGGCGCGCGTGGGGGTGGCAGTACTCCCAGAAATCCGACGCTCCGAGGCAATTGGAGCGGCGCTGTTTTGAAGGGGCCCTGGGACACACAAATGAATACACACATATAAAAGGATTCCCCATATTTTCCCCATATTTTCTGGCTTCTTGTCTTCCCCCCCACTTCCCATATTTTCCTGGGAATCGACGATTAATTGTGTCTGTGTGTTTCTTTCCCTCCTGATGTTTGCTGTGGTCGGCCTCCAGGTGGCCTCGTCAGGCCTCGTCGGGACCGTCAAAGCGACGCGGGGCGAAACACTGGGCCTCGGGGAGTGATCCAGGACTCTGGGGCCCACGCATCGAAAACATGGGAGCAGCCGGGTGTCTGGGTTGGTGCCGTGGTTGCGATGCTGGCGAGGGTCGGAACAGGTCAGGTCGTCGGCAGAGGCGGCATTTGGGGAGGGCAAAACGTCTGGAGCTCAGCTAAGCGACAACAACGTGAGCAGCCGCTGAACTGATATGATCCTTTAACACGCGCATCACGGCAGCTAAATACACATGGAGCACTGTGACACTATCAGCCTTTGTCAGGAGAGCCCCCACGCAGACTCTCGACATGAGACAAGGAAAGACAATGATCGCCGAACGGCCGACAATGAAGCCGTGATCGTGATAAGGCGGTCGGGGCGATCCCGAGCAGTACGCCAAAATCTGATGATGCGGTGGCCAGACAACCACCACGTCCGTGGAACCACAAAGAGACCCAAACAGCAGGAGGAAAGGGATGACAGGAAGAGAGGACAAGCGAGAGGGGAAGGCCGTGCATCCAAGAAGAAGGACAGCCAACAGTGGGGTTCATCGAACTGCTTCGACTTCAGACGGTCGCTACAACCGCTCCGACCCAAGCAGGTCGTCAACGTGATTCGGCCCGAGCGGGTTGTCAAACTGTTTCAGCCCGCGCAGGTCGTCGAACTGCCTCGGCCGGAGCAGGCTGCTCAGCTGCTCCGTCCTCAGACGGTCCTCACGTTGCTCCGACCCGAGACGGTCGTTCAACCAATCGCTCTGGCCTGCACAGGCCGTTCCACCGCTCCAGCCTGAGACGGCCCTGCAGCCGCTCCGGCCCGACACGGTCGTTCCGCTGCTCTGGGTCCGAGACGGTCGTGGATCTCTGCTCCGGCCCGAGCAGGTCGTGGTTCCGTGTCGGCCCGAGCATGTCGTGGGCCTGCTTCGGCCCGACGCGGTGGTTCAGCCGCGTGTCCGAGCTTGGGCTGGCGGCGTGGGCCACGAGCCAAGAGATGGGTCGGGCATGTCCCCCTGAAGGCGGATTTCGAACGACACAATAAATCAAAAAACACTCACGGAATCGTCCCCAGACTATTTTTTGACTACTTTTGAATACTCCTCCTGTAGAGGGACAGGCCCGACTTAAGCTTAGGCTGGCGGCGTGGGCCACGAGCCAAGAGGCACAGCTTGAGCGGCACCAGGCTGGGTGCCTGCTGCGGCGTGCCGCCTCCCCCGCGGCCGGGAAGGCCGCGGCCAAGACAAATGTCAACGGCTCTCGGGCGCGTGCTCCCGTCAGCGCTCGGCGGCTTTCTGCAGCCTCGGGGTGCGCCCCAGCAACTGCGAGTCGCTGGGCGACGAGCGAAAAACACACTCACGCGCACACCCACACCCAGAAAGGAGGGGCACAGAGGGTGCTATGGGTGCGTCTGTCGGATGGGGCCCCCCGCTCGAAGGGGATCCTCCCCTGGGGTCCGACAGCCCGCACCCATAGCCACATCGGGGATCCACTGACCCAGGCCGATCCAGACCCGTGGTCACTCAGGCTTTGCAGGATCCTGCGCCCAAGCCTGGGTCAATGCAACCCTGGCTCTGCAGGATCCAGCAGAATCCGGTGCTCTGACTGACCCCTGTTTGCATTGACCCCCGTCCCGTGAGCTCCGACCACAGCCAATCCCCCTCTCCACCCAGACCCCCGACGTCACATTTTTCTCATGACGTCGACCCCCAGCGGTCTGTACCCATTCCCCTGGACCGGTTTTTCGTCCCGAGTCGTTTTTTGACGGTCCCGAGGGCCGGTGGGGGCACCTGGAGGCCGAAAATAACGAAACACCTCCCGTCGTGTGTTTTTCCCAGCTCGAGGTGGTCTGGGTCCATGGACCCCCCTCGCGTGCTGCTCGCCTGAGCTCGGGCATGTCCCCTACGGGCGGATGTTGGGCGAAACATGTCACAGACCCCACACCAATACACAAAGCATCAAACACATACCCCCAAAAAACGTCCCCAGACTACTTTTGGACCGTTTCTGAAGACTCCTCCTGTAGAGGGACATGCCCGACTTGATGCTCGCCCGCCACTGAAGGGGCCCGAGGACACACAAAAAAATACACAAATGGCAGGATTCCGCATATTTGCAAATATTTTCTGGTTTTTTTGTCTCCCCACACCCACTTCCCATATCTTCCCCTATTTTCCGGGGAGTCGACGACTCATTGTGTCTCTGTATTTTTTTCCTCCTGAGCCACCGAGGGCGCTCCTCGACGCCCCTCGTCGGCTCGGGCCGGCGATAGGGGGGGATAGCAAAGGGGGGGTTTGAGAATCAGCTCACGCAGCTGATCCTCCCGGCGCCTCCTGGCGCCGGGAGGCGCCCGTGTATCGAGGAATGGGCCCGGCGGCGGGGCCGAAACCAGCTGCACGCAGCAGATTTCGTCCCCCTCCCCTTTCCCTTATCCCCCCCTCTCGTCCGGCCCGAAGGGCGCTCCTCGAAGCTCGGAGGCCTGGAAATGGGCACCAACACCAAGACAGGGGGCTGCCCCCACAGGGGGGAGATGATCCTAGATTTCGGTGTTGGTGGTAATGCTTCGGTCCCCTTGGAAGCCAGAACATTACCACCATCGCCGAGATCGGGATCTTCTTCTCTCGCTGGAGGAACACCGCCGATATTGGTGCTGGTGGTAACCTGTATAGGCCTGCGACGAAGCCCCTCGTCGGCCCCGGGAGGCCGCGGGGGGGCCGCCTCGTCGGCCCCAGGCGGCGGCGGCGGGGCCGAAACCAGCTGCACGCAGCAGATTTCGTACCCCCCCCCTTCCCTTATCCCCCCATTTCGTCTGGCCCGAAGGGCGCTCCTCGAAGCCCCTCGTCGGCCCCGGGCGGCCGCGGGGGGGGCCGCCAAGAAGGCCGCGGCCGTGGCCGCACAGCCCCGTGGGGGGGCCCGCGCGGCCGGGGGGCGGGGCGCGGCCGCAGGCCCCGCGCCGACGCCCGAGGGCCGCCGCGCACGGGCCTGCGCAGCGCGGCCGGGGCTCCTCCGCCGGGGCTGCCTCGCCGCACCCTGGCATGGCGAGGCGAGAGGGACCCAGACCACCAACGCATTGAAAGACATCAGGACGGAGGCTTTTCTCGATTTGCGGCCTCTCGCGGCCCTCGCCGGGCCCTGGGGCCGTCAAGAAACGACTCAGGATGAAAAACGGGTCCTGGGGAATGGGTCGAGACTTCCGGGGACCCCGTTATTGAACAAAATCACGATATCGGATCTCTGGGGAGGGAGAAGGGCGAGGAGGAGGAGGATGGGGCACCTCTAAGGTGCCTTTCCGAGGCGCCCGCAAGCACCTCCCAAGTGCCTTTCCTGGGCTCCTGGGCCGCAAGTGCCTTCCCCAGGCGCCCGCAGGCACCTCCAAAGTGCTTTCCTGGGCTCCCCGCTGGCACCTCCCAAGTGCATTTCCTGGGTTCCTGGGCCACACGCAGGCACCTCGCAAGTGCCTTTCCAGGGCTGGCCGCAGGCACCACCAAGGTCCCCTTTCCGGACCACGCTTTCCAGCGAGCACGGCGGCAGCCGCGGCTGGCTACGACAAGGCGCTGCTCGCTGCCTGCAGGCAACTGACTGCTGCGGCACGACCCCGCAGCGAGGACTTTGCAGGCTACCGCTGCGCCTCGGAGGCAGAGGCCTCCGCGGCCAGGAGCAGCTGCCAGGAGCAGCTGGTGCCCGCGGCCTGGGCGGGGGCCTGGGCCCAGAACCTCGCTGAGTTACGGGCGCGCATCGGCTTGGCAGTACTCGACGACCTGAGGCAGGCCGAGCAGCCCCTCGCCGCAGCTTGCCGAGCCGCCCGCTTCTTGCTGGAACCGCAGCTGCAGGCTGGCGCCGGGCTGGCCGCAGACCGGCCGGGAGAGGCCAGCGCCCTGCCCGCTTGGGCCACACTCGCCCACGAACCTCGCACCAAGTTGCAAAAAGCGCCCAAGCGCAGGCTTGACCAGAAAAACGACGCAGCCTTGCGGAGCGCCTGCACCAGCGAGGAAAAGGTGAGACTGGGCTCCTGCGGCGGACCGCACGCAGCCGCTTGGCAGCAGGCCGCTCCGGGGGCGGCCGGGCAGAGACTGAGCGACGTTGAGCTCTGCCTGACAGCACGCACTTTCTTAGGCCAAGACCTAGCGCCGCCTCGCGCTCTCTGCGCGAACCGCCCCTGCACTGGCCACGCACAGGCCGGGTCTGTGAAGAGCGCTTTAGCTGCAAAACGCACCCCTCTGTTCGATGTTCCTGTGGCGGCGGCGGCGGCGTCAAGTCGCGCAGCAGGGACGTCGAGGGCGTGCGGCAGCGCATTCACAACGAAGGTGGCTACCACACGGCCCAGAAAGTCCCCGTCCCCAGCTGGGATCGGTGGGCGTGAAGCTGCCAGAGCTGCGGCGCCCGGGGCGCGGGTCACCAGCAGCCCGCCGGCCCGGCGGTTGCGGCCAGCCCGTCGTCTCCCACAGAGAGGAAGCCATCCTTGACATAGAGGCCCCAGGAGCCCAATTCCACGTGGAATTGGGCTCCTCCTCCTCCTCCTCCTCCTACTGGTCCTCCTCTTGATCCTCCTCCTCCTCTTCCTCCTCTTCCTCCTCCTCCTCCTCCTCCTCCTCCTCCTCCTC